CTGTACTGTCTTCACTTTCAGGTTAGTTCTTCCACCGATTTCTCGCAACCAACGTGATTTTTTATTTGCGATTTCGAGAAACTTAACATGAATCGTTATGGCATTCATGCGCATAACATTTCGCCATGTTTCAACTTTTAAGTAGTCAGTTAACAAGGTCTTTCATAGTAGCATTTCTATGGGATTGGCGTACTAGCATGAATGGCTTCAATTATCATTGTTCACTGATGATGTCATTTGACTGGCCCTCTAGAGGCGAAATGACACCAGGAAAAGCGGAAGTTTGTCGTCTGCTTCACAGCCCGTTTTATACCCGATATTTAGGGCATTTCGCAGCACATACAAGTTATTTTTATCGACAGAATCCATTCATAGATCTCAGATTTCATGTACAGAATGTCAAAAGCCACACCTCTGCTCCCCTTTAATATACATTATTATATCCAAGGATAAACACTCATCTAAAATGTTTCCAAGGCGACTGTTTTATTAATAGAACTATTTTTTTATGGAAATGGCATGTAAAAAACAGCTACAAAAGTGTTCCTTGGGCAGGACACTGGTGTTAAGATACTGGAGTAGAGATACAGCAGTAATCAAACACTGGAGTAGAAGCAAGCAAACACTGTAGTGAAGATATAACAGCATTCAAATATGGCAGGAGCATCATCACCTTATGCCAAGATACTTTCTCATAAATACTTTATAAGCGGAAGAGTTCATAAATCCAATAAACAGTAGAATTAACATGTATCCAATCATCACCATGGCAACCTGATGATTCTTCATCCAAGTTAGGAGTCTTGAAGACTGTGCAGCTGCAGCTCTGAGTGAGTGAGTGAGTAAATAAGTGAAATAAAGAAATGATTCAAGACAGAATAGAAGTATTTTTTTTTAAATCTGGCATAGTTGCTCGAAAAGCATGTAATTTATATCAGCTATGGGTAATTTACAGGATATTTATCTTTCAAGTGACAAACTCAGAGACATATATTTTGACTCAATTCTATATTTCTGGTACACTTACATATGATGTTTTATTACATTTGCACAGCTGATGAGCTAAACCCAACCACCAGAACTATACAAGGTCACACTAACGATTCGCACACATACATAGTGACTGGTTGCTAGGAATAGGCCATTCAACTCAAAATTTAAATAACAGTCTTTGCTGCTACTGCTCTGAAATGTAAGTGTTAATAATTTAAACAACTTTTCACTGGGTTTAAATTTGACTGATTTACTATTTCAGGCATATTCAGTGGGTTTTAAATTCACGGTTTTAGCATTTAGATAATGTGTTCTGTGCTCAATTTTACATATTCACTGGGTTTTAATTTCAGTGAAATAAGCAAAATTAAAACCCAGTGAATAATTAACCCCTTTACAGTATTTGCAAGATTGTAACAGCAGATCATGAGTTGATCGGTTAGCATCATTTTAGTGTGAGCGTACCTTGGTTTGACAGTCCTACTGGCATACACCAATAGATACTTGACACGGAGCACCTCGTTGTTTGTTACAATGTAATACTTGTCAGGCACATCTCCACCCATACTGCTAGGGGCTTGAGCTCTTGATCGAATGACATTATTTTTGGAATCTAAAAAAAACCAGAAAATTTGGACATATTTATGAATTACAAGATATAAATATCATCAACAGTTATTTTGTCCTGCAATAGTAAACATAACTGAAACTAGACAGCTATTTTTAATCAGAACTGGTTTTGGAATGACAGAAACACAAGATTTGAATGCATTTCTAACATTGAAATTGGTGCCATTCAGCCATCCAGAATTTATAACATAATTTACAAATAAATTGTAGTGCATATGCCTCCGTAGATGTATATGTGAGGTCTGAATGGGATTAGCCCAGGTATGTACAAGATACAAGTGGGGAAGCATAGACGTAATGGAAACTTCATCTTACCTTTGGTTGTACATTTTACATCAGGATGGTCTATCATTTCGCACACAGCGATGCAGCTCAACAGGTCACCGATACAACTGTCATCCCATCCTTTTCCAGCCGGTGCATACGGCATGGTGACTGACAAATCACTGGACAGATATGTGCCTTCTCCAAATAAGGAATTCTGAAAAGTAGCATACATTGTACACTACTTGTTATTTCTCCTTTATGTAAGGAGTGTGTTATTATCACTGTTACAACATTTATTTATGACATTTGCATAAATGTGTATGTTGTAAACAATTCATCCATCTCCGAAACTAAATATTTGTCCATGGTTCAATTAACGAAGGATTATGTTAATCTAATCCCTTTATTAATTTAAATATCTTAAAGCTTACCTTGTTCATATGTGCGTGAAGGCCATTATGAAGGATGGAATGAAAGTTCTCCACTCTGCTTCCATGATAAGCATAGAGTAAATCTCGACAATCCCTCAACTCTTCAAACTTAGTATCACTGACAGAGTTTGGATGAATTTCGTAAATGTGTGTTGGTTCAACATCATAGCTGGGTGCACCAGTCAGCTGCTTGATTTCTTCAAACTACAACAGAATGCATAGGTTATATTGTACTCGTATCTTAAACTAAAACAGAGTGCATAGGTTATATTGTACTTGTATCTTAAACTAAAACAGAACACTTACATGAAGTGCTACCAGGGATAATATATTTAGGGGTGATCTCATATTCAAACACCTTGGTCAAACCTGGGTTAACCCGGCCTGCCCTATTCAGACCTACTAGACCTACAATATGCAAATTAGATGTACCATATTTGTTTTATTAGTATCACATGCATTAATATGTAAAACTAAAGATCTGTGTCTAGTCACATTAAGATTCATTCCAATGGAACCAGTATATAATAAATGTATATTTGCATTGACCAGTTGCAAGAATTTATTCTGGCAATTTTGCACTAAAGAGATGAATCGGTAAAAATACCTTTCTTTTCTGTATTTTTACAATCAACTCATCAAAAATCAATAAAAATAAACTTCATGCAAACAGCCAAAATATTTTTTAGCCAAAATTTATTCTACTGAAAAAATAAAATTGGGCTTCAGTAATTCAGAAATATTGAATCTTTATGAATCAACTCATGTTAGAACACTGATAACAAGTCATTGGAAATGACACAGTCCCCGTTAATTTTTGGAAAGTTCTCTTTGTGCTCGTCATATTAAAGCAGAGGGGTTGTCACGAGCCTGTCCTTGAAACTTGAGTTCCAAGTGGCGTATACAACAGATTGTTTATTTACATCAAAACACGTGTTCCGTGTAGTAGTAATATTCGTCCATCTTTGATCTGATTATGAAACACACTGATATGTATGATGTATGTGCCAATACGAATGAAAATGGTACATAAATTGTGGAAATATAGTAGTAAGGCCAAAATATCAGATGGCTGTCAATCGGCCATCCTTGACCAGATTTTGAAACAAATTGTCATGGACATGCATCCTAACATGTATAAAGTACATGTATGTGCCAAATTTGAATGAAAACTGACAGAGCACGCATAAAGAGATACCGCATAAAAAAAAACAAAAAACAAGATGCCTGCCAGTTGACCATCTTTGATCCAATTGCGCAATAAATCGTCATGAACATGTATCCTTACATGTATAATCTATGTACCAAGTTTGAATGACAACTGACAAAGCATGTCCAAAATACAACATTTTCAAAAAACCAGATGGCTGCCAGTCGGCCATTTTGAATCGAATCGATAAACCACTGCATGTGCACATGTCCCACATAAGGTACTAGGCACATGCAAAGAATGAACTGAATCGGTCCACAGGATTCTGAAATATGACTCTGGACAGACTGACGCACGGACGGACGGGCGCACGGACGCTCAGACGCACAGACGGAGACCGAATTATAAGTCCCCGTTTTCGGATTTCGTCCGAACGGGGACTAAAAAGCATTAACAAATAGAACATACAAATGGGAAGCTACAACAATTACTAAAATTTGAACTCTTAAAATCAGACGTGTAAGCATAGTACATTTTGAAACTTGCAAATTCAGACCATTTACGGTAATACTTCTGATAACAGTCTTAAAACTTTATAACTGACCTCAGAATGCAACTCAAATGTTTGTGAGTAACTATATTGTGTCATAGGTCAGTAACCATAGTTACAGTGTCAAGAATTCAATGTTACCATGGCAATAATTGCATAATGTTAAGCTAGGTTTGGATATTAAATGCTTGTTATCCATTACCTTAGCAGTGCCATGTGACTTGAGAGTAAAAGCTTTTGTTGACAACACCCAATCCATCAACTGCCATGCCTGGGATCCCATAATACTTTGGTCTGATACATGCAACAACCTCTGCACTGGCAGGATTTCTTTACAAACTTTGGCCTGAAAAATTTAATATAAACTTATACATGTTAATTAACTTGCAGAAAGGGAATTTGAAAAACCAGAAAAAAACATGTTTCTAGAATTTGCAAATGTTAGTATCGAGGTAACTCCCAAAAAATTAATTTATAGCAGCACTCAAGTTAAATCGATTTAGGTGGCTTCATTTCACCTTAAAGGTAAGTTACATTGTAGATATGTTTGTCAAAAAATTAAGAACCTCCAGTACTGTTACTTTGAAATGTATTTTTCAAAAATAGCATCATTTTCACACATTTTATGTTTTTAAATTGCTCTGGGAGTAATGTTTCACACATTTGCACAGTGTGAATGTAACTTTAATTAGAGGCAACAGTGCTTGTAGTAGCTGGTAATAAGCTGGTATACATGGCAACAGTTAGGATTTTAAAAGCAACAGTTGGTATGACAAATGTGGCATTTACGTCATTCTGATATTTAGATGACATCATGGTTACTAAAAAAATCTTTTTAGTAACTGTGATGACATACACAAATTTAAACTATGATGACTCCATATTGATTTATTTTGCGATGAATTACAAAAAAAAACAGACATTTTTGACAGCATTTTATATTTTGCTAGAATTACAGCTGTGACCTCAAGGTCTAAAATACCATGTCTGTGATTTTGCATTTTTAATTGCTTTCAATTCTTACACATTGGGTTTTATTTTCTCTATTTTTGCTGAAGTTAAATCTGATATCTGTATGATGCTTCAGAACACTGTGGAAAGGTGAACTGAAACATGAAGGCGTGACAATGTCATATAAATCATTATCGGATAACTACCGTCTAATAAAATCTAATGAAAATTTGGCAGAGATGTCTAACCTAGACATTTTCAGACATTATTAGACGATAATATTGATATTATCGATAATATCGGAGAAAAACGAACTGCCCCAATAGTTACCCAAAGTGAGATGTCTAGATTTTAGCTCCAACTTGTTACATAGAACAGGAAATCATTATCAAGACAGTTCACCATCATCTCACTGTGTAATATTTCAGGGATCACAGCTTGACATAACACATCCTAACAGAGATCAGAACTTTTTAACTCAAAACATAAACATAACTGCAGACATGTGCTTAAACAATGCTTATATCATCATAACATTTCCTCACTCAACACCAATGAATTATTATTGTCAGGTTGAATGGATCTGACAAACATGAAGTGCCATCTTAAAAGTTGATTGTTCATTGCCACCATATACACAATGTATGGATGCCGTGACCTAATGCATTAATTCCAAGTCTTTGATTGGATAACACAGATTTGTGTCATAATTTCTTACGTACAGTCTAAGTTCGCAAGATCAATGAAACTCTTGGTTGCTCATGGGTTGACTGGACCTGTCCGTCATCTGTCAACTTTTTGCTATTTATAGCACAGCTACCTGTCAAATTTGTTAATTTCATGACATCACATACAAATCTCTATTTGAGACCATATGTAAGAGTACATTTTTAATAAATACAGTTGTATTTTTGTGTGTGCATATTTTTGACTTCTACTCCAAAGCCGCCTGCCGGATTGCTTTGAGATTCATAATGTAGACACATGGATGGGTCCTCTTTCAAATTTTGAGAAAGTTATGATTTTTTGTGATTATTTTTTGTTATTTTTCCCACTTTCCCATACGATATATATGGGCTATGTAATACATGGACTGTAATCATAGATCTTAGAGAGGGACAGGCAACTACATCATTTCTTTTGTTTTAACCTGGGTTATAATCCAAATAATCTCACAATCCTATTAACGAATAAACAACCATCTGTTTATTTGTACTGTCGGCAGCACTCGTGAAATCGTGCAAAACGCGCTAGTTTCCCTGCGTGACTACTGAAGCGACAGTCATGAATATGCTAATTGTATGTTAATGAGTTTTCCACTTAGTATCACACGTTTCCAAATAGTTTAGAAAATTCAGATTTTTGACTTTTTTTAAAGCAAGTAATCATATTAAAATACCCAAATTATTTAGTAAACAATAATTTGAACAACAGATGTTTAAAGCAATCAGAAAAGATCGGGTCAGCCATTTTCGTTGTCGGACGATTGTCACACGTTTACAAACAGTTTCGAAAATTCAGAATTTCGACTTTTGTAACGAAATTCATTGAATTAAAAGATCCTAATTACTTCGAAAATTGTACGACTCAAGTAAAAAATGCAATAATTTGAACAACAGATGTTTTATTTTTGACAAGTCGGGAGAAAATACAGCGATCTAAAACAAACCGAGTCAGCCATTTCTGGTGTAAGCTGCTGATTTTCACGGTTCCAAACAGTTTAGAAAATTCGTAATTTCGACTTTTGTATAGCAAGTTATCAAAATAAAATACCCTAATTACTTTGAAAATGGCAGGACTATAGATGTTTTATTTTTGAGAAATGGGGCAAAAATACAGCGATCTAAAAACAATCTGGACGAGTCCTGTCTGTCCAGACGGCCTTTCAGACAGTTCGGAAATTTCAGAATTACGATTTTAAAATATAGACTAGCAAAACTAAAATATGTGAGTATCATTGAAAATAGTATGATTTAAGTGAAAATACGATAATGCAAACAACAATTGTTTTTATTTTCCTGAAAACGGGCGAAAATGTGGCAGTCGCAGGATAAGTATTAGTCAATCATTTGTCACCGCACATAAAATCAGCCGAGTAGTTAATTTGTACTGATGAAAAAAACGAATTGTAACTCTACATATAATAAGTGTCACCTAATAACCAGTACAAAAAAATGGATCTTATATTGAAATTAAAAATTCAATGTAATGAGCACAAGCACTGAAAGACGTGTTGCGAACAGCGCGGTCGATTGATTGTGAGTGACGGCACACGGCTTCCTTAGCTTGGTCATTTGTTTATAACTGTAGTAACCCACGTTGCACGCCGGATGTCGTGAAATCCTTTGTTTTATAATCCAGTTGCTTGTCCCTTCCTTTCTAAGGTCGTAATAGACAAGTGTATTGTTGGGCCAATGGTATTTGTCAGTACACATTGTGTTGGGTACAGAACTACAAGGGCCAATGTTTTTAAAAGATGTTGAATTTCAGGTCAAGGACATTTCAATGTTTATATGTTTGCTGCTTTTAGACAACTTGAGGTTAAGGTCACCCCCTCCCATCTTCAGGGGGGGGTAAAAAACTTTACAAGGTCACATGTTGATTGTGTGTAGAGAGGGTGTGTAATATTGCACATCAGAAATTATTAATGTCACACCAAGGGTATTACAAGGTCATGTACAATACAAGTTTCTTTTATTGTGCAGAACTTTATCAACATCACTCCACCCTACGTTTTCAACTCACAATTAACAATTATAGCAGAGCTCTTTTGGTCATTTGTCCGAGAAAGAAAATAAAAGAAAGCTTAGAAAGAACTCCCATGTGCTGAGAGTATTGTAGACACATTAAATATAATTTGAAATTACTTAGCTGAAAACTAATTATGCAAATCAGAAAATTAATATGAACAGATTTGAGTGTAAAACTAATGAGGTCTGCGCAATGTAACAAAAAATCTATGTACCAAGTTTAATTGAAATGTGATTAGAACCAAAAAATTATGAATTATTATGCTAATTAGGGGATTAATATGAACAGATTTTTACCCTAAAC